GCTTATTATTATATTTCATACCAATGGAAAACTTTAGGTCTCCAAAAACCATGAGTAGAATTTCTTGTACAAACACAAACTTCCTCTTGCCTTTTTTAATGGGGGTTGAGAACTATTGGAGGAAGCATTTGTTGATAGTAGTGATTGCTAACTTTCCTTCACTGTAGCATATATTAACAGATGGCTCTTTTCAGGTGTGTATTAAAGGGCTAAATGTATTTCGTGGCTATTTGAAAGATCCAGAAAAAACAGCAGAGGCTCTGGACAAAGATGGCTGGCTTCACACAGGAGATATTGGGAAATGGCTACCAGTAAGTTAACTTACATTACTGGAATGATGCTTTTATAGTTATTAACAGAAATTTGATAAATATATTAGAAAACACTTGGTATTGAACAGAATTAGTTAGGTGAAAGACAAGAATTTGTGGATAATCACTGTTGTAGCTGAATCTGTGTGCCTGGGCCTAAAAAAGTATTGACAGTGCCATTCCTGAGGCTTTCCCCAGTTTAGATTAGATGGAAACATAACCTGTTTTCTTCTAACATTAGTTTGACAGTTCTCTGGCTCTAGCATAGTTCTACTGTGCCAGTGTGGCATGCCTAAGGTATGTAGGTATGTAAGGTATACTTGAAGTATCTCCTCTGAGTGAAAGTTATTTCTGTCAACAGAATGGTACATTGAAGATCATTGACCGGAAAAAACACATATTTAAGCTAGCCCAGGGAGAGTACATAGCACCAGAGAAAATAGAGAATGTGTATCTGAGATGTGAAGCTGTTGCACAGGTGTTTGTTCATGGAGAGAGCTTGCAGGTAAGCATTTTTCAGGTAATTTTAAAAATGAATGCAAAAGGAGACTGCAGAAAAGTCTTCCTTTTCCCCAAGCTTTGGGACTGAAATTTAAATTTGTCCCATAAACTTTTATAATTATGCATTTTAGTTCTGATTGGATTCCAGCAGTCAGGTAGCTTATTTCTGGATTTAGTTTTACACCAGGTAGTGGAGCTGAACTAATTTGCATATTAATGACTGTATATAAATTGCTAACAGTGTCCTGTGGGAAAATCCAAAAAAACAAACAAAACCAGAAAAACCCCCACACACCAAGAAAGAACCTGAATACCTTGGGGGTTTTGTAAAGAGAAATGTGGGTCTTAATTCTTTCAGTTCAGTTCTAAATGTGCTTCCTATGTTCAGGTAGCAGAAAGCTGCTGACTTTACATCAGGATCAGAAATGCTCCCCAAAGAAATGTGTAGGAACTAAAGTGTTGACTTAGGAATTTTTGTCAAGCTTTTTTTCTTTTTTTTAGGCCTTCTTAGTAGCTGTTGTGGTACCCGATCCTGATACTCTGCACAACTGGGCCAAGAAGAAGGGATTTGAAGGCTCCTATAAAGACCTATGCAGAAACAAGGCAAGGCATATCTAATTGAACAGTTAGCTGTTCTGCGTCAACTTTTTCAAGTTGCTCCTTATGCAAGCATGAAGCTGTACAATGTATTTCTGTATCCACAGGATGTAAAAAAATACATTCTGGAAGACATGGTGAGAATTGGGAAAGAATCTGGTTTGAAGTCATTTGAACAGGTATGATGCTTGTGAGAACCAAATACCTAATTCTTTGAACTTCTCAACACTAATATTATCTGATTCTTCAGAAACTGCTTTTAATTTGTCTGGAAAACTTCTCAAGCAATGGGCTTTGTCATGATGTCTGGGCAAGTTTTTAATAGTCTTGTCTATTTCAAGGAATACAGTTTAGCTAATGCCTTTTTATTTTCCAGGTGAAAGACATTGTCCTGCACACTGAAATGTTTTCTATTGAAAACGGCCTGTTGACACCAACACTGAAGGCAAAGAGACCAGAACTGCGAAAATACTTCCAGTCACAGATAGATGAACTCTATGCTAATACCAAAATGTAACTGCAAATGGAATGAGGAAAGTGGCACATGTCTGTCTACTGTTGGCCTTCATATCTGTATTTTGACTACAGCAAAAATAGGGAAGGAAACTGTGCAATCATTAACTTGTACAAAAATGGGTACTTGCCATAGGAACATTGAAGAAATGGAACACTGCCTTACTGTCAAGTCGTGTTGCATACTGTTTTTATGGTGACCTACAATTTCCAAAAAGAGCCTTAACTATAAATGGTAACTATATGTAAGTTATTAAATATTTCCTTGGTTGAAAATGGGACTCACCTTCACCAAGGAGCTAAGGTTTTATTGCCAGCATGTTTGCTGTCTGCAGTGTGTTTTGCAGTTGTCAATTCCACAAAGGATTTGGCAACTTTGAAAATGCCTCTAAGTATCTTGCATCCTCAGAAAAATTACTTAATCTGTTCAAAAAACCCCACCACCCAACCACTAAAAAACCCAAACCCTTACAGTTTGCATAGCTGGTATCACATCTTTTGTTAGTCCCAGTATTAACTGGGGCAAGGCATCTGAGCTGTATCTCCCTTCTACATCTGCAGCCGGTTATGGGATGTACTTCTATAAGGTAGAAGTCAGCACTCCACACAAAGAAGACTGATGAGTAGAAGTTCCTCAAAGTCTGCATATGGTGGTTCTGCACTGTGTGGATGCAGTTCATTCAGCAAGTATAGCCTTTGCTACATTAGCATGATTCAGGAGTGGCACCAGCCCTGTAACTCTGGCGAGAACACTAGAGACCTAAAAACCAAATCAGGAGGCTGGGCTATGGTAACAGTCAGGGTAAACACTGCACCTGTACCAGACACTTGTTTCCCTGTAATGAACTTGTATTTAAAATGCATTTTATAAAAATGTGCCAGGCCCTCTGTAAGTGGAAGAGCTTCTGACATAACCTCTGTTTTCTGTGCTTTATGTATGAGCCACTGAGTACTCTTCACCGAATAACAAAATAGGTCAGGTAGAATGTTTTTGCCTGATGCTTTGCAGCAATTGGAACTATTTATACATGCCAACAGAACTGTGTGTTGGCCCAGGATAGGCATTTGTTCAGGGATAAAAACCTAATTCCCAGATAAATTGCAAAATAATAACTAGTTATCGTTTGTTTGAAAAATCAGCAGAAATAAGCCTTATTACAGCATCAGTCTTTTGCTATCCTTAACAGAGTTGGTTTTGCATTAACATTCATTGCTGTTTTTTGAAAACGTGGATCTGTGTAAAATACAAGCACAACAAGGTTTGCACTAAGATTTGTGTGATTGTAATGCACTACTCTGTAGCATAATTTCATGTGTATGCAATTCAGGTACACAAATCCAAGTCAACTGTTAGAGCAGTAGTTTGTTACATTGAAATTCAAATGTTTGCTTAGTGTTGGCTATTTCTATGTTTTTTAAAACCAAAACAATTTTCAAAACCAATGAAGGAAACCAAAATAAATATTTCTTCATTTCAATGGTGTGATGTGTTTGTTTATCAAGAAAAATGCTGCTGAATAACAAGCCTGAGTGTAATATTCTAATTGATAACCTGTAAAACTCTGCTGCTACAGACATACTAAATATAGTACAAGTTGTATACACTTGTATTTTTTGTTTACACTTTTACTTTTGGAAAGTGACTTTTTATGTTTAAGGTGTTGGTCAATATTTGTAAGGAAAGGGTGCTGTTGTATGTAACTTGCTCTTTCAGTACACTACAAAGATGCAAATCTTCAATTTTTTTTTTCCTTTTTCCTGACACTTGTGTTCTTACTATTATCTCAAATTACTTAATTGAAAGGTAGTTTTCTGAAACTCTACCTGGGTGGTAGTGGATTTCCTTATTCCATGCATTTATTAAATCCAAACATCCTCGGGGTACAGCTGGAGAGATTTCAGGGATAGTTTTACCAAACCAGGGTGGAGAAAGCACCACCACCCAGACACTATTTAAAATTCCATGTGACTACAGATGTCAGTGCAAGATACTAAGCAAACTTCTGTTCCTAGTCACTGTAGAGTTTCCCCTCTTAAGTAATTTTGTATGTTCCTTTATTCCATAGTGAAGGAAACCTAAACCAAATTTGTCAATTAATTAAATAACACACTCAAATCAGTGTGTGTATGCTGCCTGGAAAGGCAGGGAAGTGTCACTCTGTCTCATACTGGAGAGAGAGCTGAGAGATTGATGAGAACGGGATCTAAGGTTTATGTTCTTAACAACATTCTATTTGAGAAACCTTTCTGGAGAAGCCCTCTATCACTACAGAAACAAATTTGTTTGTCTTATTTGTGGCTCAGGGGGCTGGGTGCTATAGCCAGAAAAATACTCTAAAAAAGAACTTACCACCTCATAACCTGAAGTGATTATTTCACTGTTTTAGTATATTTTTCTGGCTAAAGCCAGAGAATATCACCACTACCAGTGTATAAAGAGGTGTGATATCAAAATGGCCCCTCCAGCTGACAAGACAAATATTTGAATCTCCTCTATCAATTTAATTGCCAGAGATGAAACTTAAAATTTTCGAGCTAAAGAGCCTACTTCTTTTGTTTGTTTGGTACGCTATTAAAGCAAGTTTTATTTTGTGCTGTTCAAATCAATTTGCTGTTAAATGTGCTGTCTCTGACCACAGCTTGTACTTTATCTTTGCAGAAGCGATCTCTTTCGCTTGCTTTTCCAGCTGCACAGCATTAGTTAAAGGGAAAGGGAGGGGAGAAGAAAAGGGGACGTTCTTGTGGTTTGTTTTTTGTATTTAATCAGAGCCATTCACAGAAAACTACGGAGGAGAGCGCTGGTTCGGTGAATTCTTCGGACGCTGAACTGACTCCAGCAGGACGAGGCCGCCGCTGGCCCGCCGCTGGCCCGCCGCTGGCCCGCCGCTGGCCCGCCGCTGGCCCGCCGCTGGCCCGCCGCTGGCCCGCCGCTGGCCCGCCGCTGGCCCGCCGCTGGCCCGCCGCTGGCCCGCCGCTGGCCCGCCGCTGGCCCGCCGCTGGCCCGCCGCTGGCCCGCTTCCCGTTCCGGCCGGCGGCTCCTCCCCGCCCCTCCCCTTCCTTCCCGCCGGCGGCGCGCGCGGTTCCAAAGGCGGCGGGAAGCGGGAGGATCCCTGAGGGGCCGGGCCGGAGCAGACGGGGTCCTGCGGCAGCGGAGCCGCGGTACAGGCGTGAGCTACAGCGTCGCGCTTTATCTTCTTCATATGCCCGGCTCACTGATACGTGCTGCATACATCCGTCATCCGTACATAAATAACCTCTACGTCGGTCTGGGCTGAGGAAGTGGGCTTTACCGCTTTTGGAGTGAGCTGGCCATAACAGTATGAAGTAACAAAAATAGTTCGAACAAAGATTTCCCGTTCTCTCCCAAGTACAGACGTTAAGAAAGGCGATTGGTATCTTTTTCACTAACTTCGTCCTCGGTTTTGTATTCTGCAGCATATACTAAACAGCAAAATGTCCTCAAAGAAGAAAATAAAGAAGAATCATACCAGCTACAAGCTAGAGGTAAGTTTCGCTAGGTTGGGCAGAATCCAAACAGCCAGTATTTTGGTTTTGTAGAGAGAGTGTTCAAAGGAGGGCAAGGTGAAGGGCCTTGAGCGGAAGCCGTGTGAGGAGCGGCTGAGGTCCCTTGGTCTCTTCAGCTGGAGGCTGAGGGGAAACCTCATCGTGGTCTCAGCTTCCTCACCGAGGGGATTCCTGGAGCAGACACTGGCCTCTTCTCTCGGTGACCAGTGAGGGGGCCAAGGGGAGTGCCTGAAAGGTTGAGGTTGGATATTAGAAGTTCTTCACCCAGTGGGTGGTTGGGCACTGGACCAGGCTCCCCAGGGAAGTGGTCGCAGCAGCAGCCTGACAGAGCTCAAGGACTGTTCGGACAGTACTCTGTGACTCTTGGGGTGTCCTGTGCAGAGCCTTGTGGATCCCTTCCAGTGCAGGATATGCGGTGATGCTGTGTTGTGCTACTGTGCAGTCGAGGCATTGTCTCTGGAGATGGATGCATAGGGGTTAATGCAGGACTTGCTTGGCACTGGGAACTGCTGTGCAGTCCCTGCTGGGACAGGCTTGGGGTGCTGGTGTGGGGTTTTCTTTTTCATTTTCGGAGTAGTGCAAAATGGAACGTTGACTTTCAAACAGGCAAAAGTTTAAAAACAATCTCATAAAAGACAATTTGTAGAAAAAGTACTTTATGTGTATATTTGATCCTATAATAGAAATGCTGGGGCACTGCTAAGCACTGATAAAATTAAAAAGCCACAGAGGTCAGTCTTTTCTGGTTACAATTCACCCTACAAGTACACACAGAAATTAGTGAGGAAAGTCACTTGTACATTTTGTGAATGGCACACAACTGTTTCCACAACTGTTTCATAAACTTGTGTCATTCTCCCTTACCCTTCTGCTTTACAGAAGTGTCTCTGTAATCCTTGATTTATAAATTCCACTTTAGTTTTTCAGTTTCTTAAGATGAAAGTAGTTAAGTTGGAAAAGGGAGGAAATTTCTGGGATATAGAGATGAAAGAAGAAATATTTTAACGCTTGAAAAGAAAAAGACTACAGATCATAGAAAGCAGGTATTGGAAGGTTGTAATATTTCTAAGCTTGTACACTTTTATGAAATAAGACAAACTTGCAGTAGAACACAGTATCAAATAGCAGAACATACACATTTTATACCATCACTTCTCTTAGGGGAAAAACCCCATAGCCTGAGACAAAAATATGCTTCAAATCCTTATGCTATAGCTTAGGAGTCAATATGGTTCTGGTTAAGTGTATTTCTAGCCAAATGATCTTGAAATTCATTGTCATTTAATCTCAAAAAGCTGCATAAACTGGCTGTTAATTTCATACCTATCCAGAAGCACAAAGCCAGCTCCAATCTTCGTGGGAAATCACTTTCACTTGAGGAGCCAGATGTCTCAAGGATATTGAAGGTAGCAGAAACAAATCAACTTGAGGACCTTAATGATTCCTTTGGTTAGTATTATCTTGAATGTCATTTAATGTATGATTTTCACAAACCAACCACATGGGCAGAATACTTCAGGTGCTTACCTAGGAAAAGGTTTTGGTTCTTTGCAAGAGAAAGTAATGGAGAGGACAGACAGATGGGATTTTTGTGTTATTTTCTATAATTTAGGAAGTAACAGGAATAATACTGTAGTATGTGCAAATAAAAGTCAGTGGAAAAATGCCAGCTATTCCACGTTTATAGTTTGAATGTAGAATTTCACATATCATAATATTGCAGTTGTGCAATAACATACAGTTAAAAAACAAAGTTCAATATCTTAATTTATTCTTTATTACATTACACAAATTATGAAGTGACATTTTTGCCATTGTAAGAGTATGCATGGCAGGAAAGTTGGACATTTGCAGTTGTTCTGCCACTTTCAGATGTTACTTAAAAAAATAACATTAAGCCATACAATTTTTGGTGAAGGATTAAAACCTCTTCCATGCTTTATATTTGACTTGTGTAATGAGGCCTCAATACACAGGAAAAGAATCACTATAGATGGCGTAGGTGCTCCTCTGTGTGGAGTCCTCTGCTGTATCTTACCTGTACATTTTTTATTATTTTTAAACCAGTGTAATTAGAAGCTGTAGAGAAAATGTTAAGAGCTGTTTCTCAACTGTAATAGTTATTACTCTGAGAAAATTATGGAAATATAAATGTAACTTGGGAATAGCATTGACAATGAGCTATAAAAAACAATTTAGCAAAATGAAAAGTTCTTTTCCTTATTTCTGTGGTTTGTGTTTAGACTGCAAAAAGGATTCCCGTTGACACTAATGTAACACAAAAGTTTTGTGGCAGTGTGCTTGAAAAAAGAAACTTATACTGTGGAAGGCATACTAAAACCATCAATTTCTCAGAGTTCCAATCTATTTTGGTAGCTACCTTCAAGAATTCTACATTTACAAATATTCTGTAGCAGCAGTAATTGCCTTCTCATAGTATCCACTAAGGCAGCTTAAAATCTATATTAAAAAAAAAAAAAAGAAAGTAGTTGTTTAATTGTGTAGAAGGTTAACGTATGCCATAGCGAAGAGAGACTTGAAAGAAACTATCAAGTATTCTGCTTGCTCTATGCCATGTGTACATGCTGAGCTACCTTTGGTTTGGGTTCATAAAGAAGTAGCAGGTGGATGAGTACAGAAACTATGAAACCTTTCATTATATGTTTTTTCATAATCCTCAAAAAATACTTGTAATGAAAACTTATTAGTTATCAAACGACAAATAGTCTAGCTAAATGTTTAATGGCTGGCAGAGCACTCTCTTTGCCTTAAAGGATGGGAGCAGTGTTCATACAGTTTATTTCTTTGTTCTTTATAGATCACCCTTTGCACAGTACTGCTGTGGATGCTTATGGAGAGGAACAGTCACAAAACGAGGCACTCAGTCAAGTTTCGGCACCACAAAGGCAAAACACAGACAGACGGTCTGGTGGAAAAAAAATAAAATGGTCAGAATTTAATTTAATCTTTAGATTTTTAGATTTAAAGGGAAAAGTGTTCTAGTTAAATTATATGTAACAAAGGAAATTATTTTTAAATATTATTATTTTTAAATTTTAGTATATTTCTTGTGTTAAATCAAATTTGGTTTAAATCTGAAATTGTCTTGCTATTTAATTCGAGCTAGAACTTTAATAGTACTTGTATGAAATATAGCTGTACAAAATGTTCCTCAAAACACAAGGTTTTGTGTATGTGGTTGAAGATCATCCTTCCTCAGAGGGTATCAGTGTATGTATTTTCTTTTCCCAGTAAAAAACCACATAGCTCAAAGCCCTCCGATGGTGATGTTCAGAAATTCAACACAGCTGATTCTGAAGAGGAAGCCTTTAAGGAGACTGTGGTACTGAAAAAGTTTCATGAGTGTTATCAGTCAATTTAATTTTAGTTTACTTCATGCCATGCCTGCATTAGAGGGTGTCTTAGTACTTAACTGTATCCGAAATAATCAGTCCTCAGAGTATTCCTGTGATGTGGCCAAGTGAAATGCTTAAAGCTACAAGTCATCACATCAACAAGGAATATTATTAGCCAGGTGTTCCTGGATCCTGTAGTCTCTTCTCTTGCTTGTTTGGGAGTATATTCTTATTTTTTTCAATTATCTTCCTCTAGAATCTAGAATATATGTTCTTGAGGAATGGCATACTAGATGTAATATGAATCCTTGGTACTTGTTTGGTATTGAAGCAAAACAAGTTTATGGGAAAATAATATTGATAAAATTAATTTTGAATATGTGTTAGAATTAAAAGCCATTCAGTTCTGAATTAGTGTTTTTGAACACTTACTCCACAATTAGTGTAATATGGTTTTGGCCCACTTAGCTGCCAGACATACACCAGGAGTCAACTGCAGGCTCAAGAAAGTAGCCTATGATAAAAGAGGTTGTGAAATAGTTGGAACAAGTTTCTTATGTATTGAAATTTATTGGAATTGTACACTCAGTACAGTGTTAGTCTTCCATCAGCAGGCAGGATGCATGCAGAACCCTTGTACAAGTGCTGTTGTGGTTGTCACAAGGTCATCAAAGTGAAGAAAGGATTGGGAGAATGTGGGTGAAAAGGAATGTAAGCAGGCACTGTTGATAAGAGAAATGTTAATCCTGGGCAATGACTGTGCAGAGCTGAGGGTCCTTAAGCTCCTTAGCATGTCTCCAGCCCTGCCGCATGGCCAGTGGCTGATGGGTCAGTGGCCAGTGCAGTCAGGCAGTCACTGTCCTGCAGCAGTGACCACTGGGCTGGGAATGCTGGAACAGGCCAAAGGAAACGTTACTGAAGCTTCAGTCAGGAAATGCTTTCTGCATTCTGCCTAATTGTCATCTCGCAGGAGTTTAGATGAGTAAACCTAGGGTTTATTCTGGAAGTTAATCTGCTTTTTGTGTCACAGAAGACTCCAAAAACTACTCAATTCCAAGCAGAAGAGAGGCAGTCTTCAGAGGAGAATACATCAGATTCTTCTGGTAAAGTACACTTTTCAGAACCCTCATATAGCTTTTCTTCATCCAAGATCAAAGTTTTTCAATGGTTTTCATTTCTGGAATGTAGCAACACAGTGCTTCTAGAAATGGGAAGTTTCAGCTTCAGTTTTGGTATAAACCGCCCCCGCTTTGATCTCCATGGTTTGCATCCCTGGACTCGCCTGTTCTTCCCCTGAAGAGGTAAAGCATAGGTGTGCATTATACCTCTAAGGAAGCCTGGTTTCCTTTGGAGGGAAGCCTGGAGTCATGGCTATGAAGCTGTAGGAGGTGTCAGTACATTCCTTGGTCTGGAAGCCTGGAGCAGCAGCTGTGGGGCAGAACTTGGAGTGCCCCTGACTGCACAGGACAGCAGTCAGTGTAAAGACCCTTGAGGCAGGGAGCTTCAAGACAGTGGCACTTGTCAGTAGGAAGAAACTGTTCCTTGTGTCATCTTGCTTCCTTTGAACAGAACCCCATCACATTTTAGTACTAGATTTACATTGGGGAGTATGTGAAGAAATGTGGTTTAGCTTTTTGTGGAATTGGTTTATAATAATAATGCAAAATTTAAAGAAGTGTATTTGTGTACAGTGGGTTTTTGAGGCATATATGGTATTAATAAAAGAATGTGTACAAATATAAAAGCTCGTGATTCTTTGAGTAATGCAAGTTGCAGATTCAGGCTAATAGTTCTTTAACACAAAAAATCATGTCTATAGTACACTGTGTAGTTTAATACTTAGTTTACAGATGTGTTTCAGGGCTTGCTTGAATCCATAAAGAATAAGAATTAAGTAACATATCACTGATCATCCCAGTTCTAAGGTGTTCCCAGGTAAACCTATCACAGTAGCTCAGGCAAAGACAGATTAAATAATTCAAATATTCCTCTTCTCAAATTTCATGTTGAAATACTCATAACTTTTAGATGGTTATTTTGATGGTGGGCACAAGAGTTTTTCTATTGTTTTACAATGTGTACCTGAATTGTGCAGTGCTTATGTTCATTTTGTTGTTCCAGTGGATAGCCCACATTCTGTACAGGTTTGGTGTCCCAAAGAGATGAAGAGATCTCCTAAAGATATTACAGAACTGGATGTTGTTCTGGCCAAAGTTGAGAAGATAGCAGCAAATTACAGGTAAATATTCTGCTTTCCCATGATTGGATATTCAAAGTTTTAAAAATAAATGCCTGTGGTTTTGCTAATGGGCTGTCCTTTAGGAATCAGTATTGCACGGTTACATTCTAATGTTAATGATTATTAAGTATCTGATACAAATATTTCTTCACATGTGATCTTGTCATGGTTTCCAGGGAATTGATATTTTTCCAAAAATGAACAGCACATCTCAACTGATATTTTTCAAGGTAGAAGTGAAGTTATTGCTAGTATATGAAAGATCTGCAGTTGTCTATCTGCTTAACTTGAGGTTTTATTTGTTACTCAAAAGAAGGGTTTTGGATGAGATTTCCCCTTTACTAAACCAAATGTGTTTTGTCCCTCTGACTTCTCCAGACAAAGCATAGAATCAAACACTGGCAGAAAGGCTATCAATGACTTCTGTTCTGCTTTCAAGGACCAAATCACTGATCTTGTAAGTACACCAGGAATAAAATCAACTTCGTGGTCAAAATACCTATGGTTTTATATTGCCCTTTACACATTAATTTTACAAGCTGTAAAAGTTTCCTATCTCTTGTCAGTATAAGTAATAGGAAAACACAATTTGTTGTGTGCAGGCTTTCACAAGAATTGCCTCTAGAGACAACACTGCTGTCACGCAAGTACTTTGCCAAATTGTCACCTTTTGAGAATAGGGAAGCATCCAATAATCTTGAAGTGTTTGTCATATCTAAATCATTATGTAGTAAAACTGGTGAGCTGCATAATTTAAATGAGCATACAGGTATATCAAACAGTTTTAAAATCTTATTGACTAGAATTTTAAAAGGTTGATTTAATTTTTGTGCTGTCTCAGTGCCTTCAGAGTAAGGCCTCTAACATATTCCAGGGAAAATCATCCTTTTTTAATTAACATTTTGAACATAACTGTAAGATATTCAAGTACCATCTGGACACAGTCCTGTGCCATCCTCTAGGATGACCCTGCTTGAGCAGGGAGGCTGGACCAGAAGACCCCTTGTGGTCCCTTCCAACCTGAGCCTTTCTGTGATTTATTGGCTGGAAAGATTAAGGTGATTATGATGAGTAAAATGAACTCAAAACTCTGCAGAAGTTGTGCCAAGTACTTAATGGCTGAGTACTAAAGCTGTAGTTCTGAGTGGTTCATTAGAAATAACAAGTGTTGGAATTACCAATTTTATACATCTATATGAAGGTATAGAAAAATTAAGGTAGGTATTATTACAGGAATTGGTACAAGAAGTATTACTTGCACTAACTCCTTTTGTGCAAGTGATTTTCCTCTGGAAGTAGAGAGGAAAGAATACACAACCGGTGATGTCCCTTTGAACCAGGGTTGTTTTTTTTTTTAATAAAAAAACAACTTTTTACATTATTCCAAAGTAATTATTGCAGCCACGTTTTTAGGAGGAGAGTGATGAACTCAACCTGTAATTCTTCTTCTCTCTAGATAGCAGGAGTCCAGGAATTAAAGAACATAAAGAAAAAAAACGCTAAGGTAAATACATACATCCATATTAGCTAGATTGTACAGCATACAGTTGTGGGCATTGGAGTGTCAAGAACTTGACTGGAAGAGATAAAATAATTGACAAAAAGGTGTACTGCACTCAGAATCAACTGCACAAACAGAAGTTAGGGAACCACCAGAGGTTTTTTGGAAAAGATCTGAGTAAATGTGATAGATAGCAAACTCCAGATGTATATTGCTATATGGTGTAAAAAGTATGAATGCACATTAGGATGGGTAAGATCTATGCATATCAATTACTCTCCTGGCTTATTGGTTTATTTTTTTTAATGAGTAATGGTGAGGCTTCTGGAGAGCCAGTTAAATGATGACAGCTAACATTAAAGAAACATAAATGAATATAAAATCTAGGAGAGCAGCAAAGATAGCAGCCTGTGAGGATAGAATTGGATTGCTTAATTTAAAAAAGGGAAGTCTCAGGCAGCTGTATTCCCTAAACAGAATTTTTCTTCAGAGGAAGACAGTTCCTCTCTTCATTTACAGTGAGTAATAGCCGAAAATGCAATGGGAATGTTGACAGAAGGAGGCACTAGTGTAAGGGCAGAAAAACATTGTAGTGGGTTCATCAGGGAGATGTGAATGCCTACAGAAGAGAGATTTAAGAGAAGCTTTGGCACTGTCTGGATTTCTGCCCAAATTAACATCTTCTGCAAAGTTTTCAATGGCAAAACAGCTTTAACAAATAGAGTCAACATAAAGCTTATCCTGGGAAGTAGCAATTAATATGCTGAAGTCTGGTTGACGTGAGGTGATACAGTAAACTGCTCCGTATGTAAAATGAAAATTCACAGCCACTCAGATTTATCCTTCTGTTTGATTGTAAATCCAATGTTTAAAATTAAACTTTTAGTTGCTGAATTTGATTTTATGATGGGTTTTTTTAAAATTGTATGTTATATTAAAGCTTACTTAGTTATGGCTGCCATTCTGAACATACATTCTTATTAATTTACATTTTTAAACCTAAAACCTCCTAGAGTTCATAATGTTTGAAATCAAAATGTCACAAACTCCTTCTGTTTGATTGTAAATCCAGTGTTTAAGAACAATTGTGGATGGAGATCAGAGTTTGACATTTTAAACAGCTTTAAATTGTTTAAAATACAGATGTAAAATATAGCATTTTATCAGGTCTGGTATCTTAGAATCTTCCACAATGACAACCAGCATAAAACCTCAGAGAAGAAAAGGGCAATGAGATTTGAGTTGCTTGCCTTTGAAGTTTTAGAAACTGTTTCACAGACTTTGCTCACTTTTTTTTTTTCAGGCAATAACAAACATCAAAAAGAAAAGGCAGCAACTGGTGCAACTCAGAGAAGAGCTAATTGGGTGTGTTTCTAATGATGTACAATAATAGCCTGAAGAACTTAAGGAGTTTGGTATTTTGTAATTTGGAAGGGAAAGTAATTTTTTTTGTTCTCTCATTTTATTTTGATGAAATTACCACTGTCTTGCTTTTTGTTTTTACAAAAGCTCATGATAATCACTTCGTTACTTTTTTCAGTTTCCTAGACAGTCCTTCTTTCAAGTTCTCCTAGCTAACTAGTTACTGGGAGGGTGTTTCACACCATATGTTCTTAGGAACAACACCAGTGTTATGATTTGAATTTCAAAAGTGCTGGATCATAAATAACAAAGATGATAGAGGACTTGTTTGGTTTTGAGGTGGGAGATTGTATTTTACCTCTGCAGGTCAGCGGGTTTGTTTCCTTCTCATATGGCCACAAAATTCCCCTTCTCTAACTTGGCATTAATCTTAAGTGTCATTTATATACACAACACAGGAATCATGTGGTTGGAAGAAGGGTTGGAAGAACCATTAGACTTCCCCAAATCCCTTGAGCTGCTAGAGACAAGCTTTATGCTGAAGCTGCATTTAACATACACCCTGTAAGGTAACTGTAGGGAACCATGGGCTTGGATTCACAAAAACAGAGCCAAAACCTTTTCTCTATGGCCATGAGAGGTGTTTTTCTTTGTAGTACTGTGGACAAACTTTGCTCAGAGAACTATTTGAAGCCCCTGACAGCTGTCTTCACATTTTTATATGTTATGTTTTAATCCTTTGATCATTTTAAGAAAGCTTTTCTTCTGCAACCCTGTTGGATGAAAACCACTGTTGGTGCTCATTTTTGGAGTGTTATTTTAATGGATCAAGCACTCCAGTTTATTTAGCAGAGGTGTAGGTAGTTTGTAGATCCTGAATATGCTTCAGCATAAGAACTGAACTGAGCTTGCAGGCAGGGGTGTGCAGAAGCAGAACACCTTGTATTTAAGAAACTACACTTAAAAACCTTAAATGCTTGAGAGTGGCTACATTGTCAGACTCAAAAGAGGGGTTTGGTTCTTTTTGGTGGATTTGATCTCATGCCTCTATTTAAGTAATATGCTTGTTCTACCTAAGCACTATTCCATAGTAACCTATGTTTCGTATTTCTGACCAGCCTTTTAAGAATTCCTTCAGAGGAAATAAGGTCACAGCTATTCATGCAAGAAATATGCAGATCTTGCAAAGTCCTGATCTTTTTTCAGAGCTGAACCACAACTGACACAACTACAAAGAGAATATGCTGAGGTACAGGAAAGGAAATCTTCCTTGAGGCAAACAATTGAATTAATTACTGATTTAAAGGAGATACAGCAAGACTGTTTGGACTACAGAGAAGAAAACCCTAAAGAAAAAGTGGAAGTAAGTACATATTCTGCCTGTGTTTCAGTTTTCTAAGTGTTTCTTATTTTAATTTATTAAATTTATTTATTTACATCTCTTAAGTTGCAGTATTCTGTTCATTGTCTTTGCGGGAACAACTTGAGAATCACTGCTGAACTGTAGTTTTTCTTTTGTGTTTTTGGTCTCATGTTAGAAACTGAACTATTGCAGAGAAGATTCTGTGGTCTTGCTCTCAGTATCCAGGAATTCAAAGGACATAGAAATGAAACAGTTGTCCTTAGTTGTAACTTCTTTACAGAAATTAAAGATTAACAGTGGGACAGAAGTAATTAATTTTTTGTGTTGTTATTGTTCAAAAGCAGGGAAAGCTCTGGCACTTCCATGTAAGATACTTAATGCTGAGAACAGTGCTGGTATTTCATGACCAGAGTAACATCTCATGTAGCCTTAGAACCTGTTCCTGTTTCCCAGGTATTTTCTATGGACAAGGCTTACACACCAGCCATGTGTAAGGGAAATCCTCACATTTTTAGAAGACTCTGATTTTGGCTGTTGTTCACTTTTAAAGGTCATGTTGCACCATTTTAGACAGAGGAAAAATAAATACTGATATGTAAGTGATCTTTCAAAGAGTTTAATAATGTTGCCTTGTAATTTTATTTCCTTATCAACAGTATGGAATTTCCAGCCTCCCTGCTCTTCTGGTGGAGTCTCAGAGAATTCTAGGAGCAGAAAGGCACTTTGAGAGTATCAATATGAAACTGGAAGAAGCGCTGGCTGCAGAAAAAGAGCAGAGATCAAAGAAAAATTAAGTGTCTTTTTAAGACTTTCAGACATTCAGAAAGAACAGGTATTAGAATTGTCAGTGCTTAAAGCTTGTTTAATCATTGTTACTCTATTTTGTTTCAGTGTTTAAAAGCAGTCAGCAACTTAGAGATTGTATCTTACTGTCAAATAGTCTCAGAATACCAATGAAAGGAAAAGACAACCACAGTTAATAAAACTTTCCTGTACTCTGAACAATGTTGGGTGTTAATCTTGTGCTATTAAAATAATCTTGAGCGGAATATATTTGTAAAGAGACTCTGGTTGAACAAAGATGAATAAACAAATCTTTTTATTGAATCTCCATTTGAAATATATTACTTCATCTCATATATGGAAATAAGAAGTCTGTTTTGTTGGCTTCTCAATAAAACTTGGACATAAAACTAATAGAAACTGTACAGCAAAGAGTGCTAAAAGTGCTAAGCTTGGAGCAGCATTCATGATGAGTTTTTAGTCTAGTTCTCTTCAGCCCCCCACGTAATCTTCTATGATCTCCTCAGGCCTGCTGAAGTTCACCCAGGCACTCCATTCTTCATCCTACAGCTCTGGAGTGGTGCTTGTGAACTACCCTGCAGGACCTTTCACACCAGCGCCACACAAGTGTCATTCATTGCTGGCCAGGCCTGTGCTTAGCTGCCTTCTTTAGTGTAGAGATCTTCTTTCCTTAAAGCTTCCAGAAGAACTTCATCTGGGATTTCTTCCATGGCATGATTCAGACTATCATCTGCAGCTTCAGCTAGTTCCACATCTTCAGCAGCTTCTTGGAAACAGGCATCATCACTTGTGTTTTCCCACTCACTCTCTGAAAACAGGAAGTCTTGAGACCAGCTGTTCTCTGGAGATACTGAGCTTTTTGACAAGTCTGATGCACTAGAATGTGGATTTACTTTTCCTTCTGTGTTCCTCCTGTCATCCATTAGCATGGACTCTTCTTCCTTTGTGAAACAAGAAAATTACTTACTCCATGTGCAAATACTCTTCACACCTTTAACTGCTCTGCAAGTTGAAAGTTTGTGCTGTCACATAGAATGGATACTTCAGAAAGCTGCCCATCACAACAAGATTTTCCAGCATGTTCATGTATAGCCACATTAACCTGTGGAAGCTATTTTAATAGGAGTAGAAATGTGCCTTTTTCTAGCACCCAACAAGTAACCTGTTGAATACAGCTTCATAAAATACAAGGTTAAAACTAACTTAAGTGTCTGTTCAGAGATACTGTCAGGACCTGAAAATACAGTTAAATGACACTTTCTGTGAAATAACACCAATAGTTATTGATGAGGTGCTTGACTAGCACTTAATGTGCCATTCTGCTGTATTATATTTAGAGCTGTACAGTTAAATTTAAAAGTTAAAAAAATGCCAATTCTTATTGCCTAAGCAGTGGAAAAGCTTGTATGTTCAGGGCATAGCACTATCAGGTCTGTTTAAATATTCTTCCTGTTCGGGCAAATGTGCTGCTTTCATATGCTAAAATGGAGAGAAATTAATTTCAGGAATGAGGGTCGCTGACATGTATTTGCCTCTGACTTAGGTGTTCCAGAAGCAGTTTTATTTTACCTTGCATGAAGTCAGACATGCACAGCAGAGCTAAACTTGGGCAGTTTTTCTGTTCAGCACCTTGTGTTGCCTTGTGGCTTAGACATTGGGAACTGCTGTTCACATCAGAACAGAAAAAGTCTTTGGTCCCAGGTGAAGTTAGACAATTCCAGTAACTTAGCATTGCTGGAGAACTTGAAAAGGAATATATGGAGCTACCACACCAGCACAGCTGCTCTGGGGACCTCTTCTATACCACTGTACCAGGATGTGGAGCTCTCCCAGCAGACTGGGACGTTAGTGGGAATATCCAAGGATTTCCAGAGCCTTCCAAGAACTTAAGCATCTGAATCGGACCAAAACATACCTCTTTGAAAAGCGTTTGGAGGCATATCCCAGGCGGTAATGGAAAACCTAAATCAAATATAAGACATTAATTAAAGTTAACATTCCAAAAAGTATTAAGTATAATTGAGATCACAGGCTACATACTTTGTGATTTGAAGTTCTGTTCTCTGCAGACAGGATCATGACACTTTTGATACCAGACTTCATTCTTTAGATCTACCAGAATCCTAAGAATGAAATTCATTTTTTAGTAACAGTACATAAATGAAATTAATTCATACAGTTGGAAATTCTATCACTAAATGAACAGGTTTTGTTTGTCCTCAGCTATGGCCATTGCTTTCATACTCTTGGCATACTTACTACATATTTTGTACAATTTTTAGTAAACTTCAGGTTTCTGAAGTTTAAAGAAGTTTTAAGACTAACATCTGAAAGTGAAATTTAGTCAGCTTCATTACATTAAGCTTGGAAGAAAAAGTCAGCATATTAAGATTAGCATATGGGACTTAAATGTAAGGTAAGATTTTGTTGCTGATGCTGTTACAAATAGTTTCATTATAAAAGCCACATAAAGTCACTCTTTTCTGTCAAATGATTAGGCCACCCACCTTTTTCAACTGTGCTTTAGAAACACCAAACTTCAAGCAACTCACTTGAGAAACAGCAAGTTCATCCAGCTGTGGAGTTTTTTAAACATCCTTGTTTCTCAGAAATACATTCCTTATGTTTCAGTGATTTTAAATGTTACATAAAATCATTTTTAAGTTAAAATATTTATACTAATTATACACCATAATTCTAATATTATCTAAAAAAACTGACTTTCCATCATCTATTTTGCTAAAACTATAGGAAGTATGAGTCATAGTTGTTGTAGAACCACTAGCAAAATACATCTTGATTCATGTGTCAGGAATTACCATTCTAAAATGGCAATTCTCAATTATTAAAATGACAAGAGTAATTTTAATAACATAAGAAAGTAATTTAAGATGCATTATAAATTAATTCAAAAGCAGGCTGCTTGCTTTCTTATTTTTCAGCTTCCTAGCTGGGAAGTACCAAAACATAGTACAGTTTAATAGCTTTAACATACTCTGACTTTCACATTAGCATCTTCAGGTGCATATTTTAAATCCCACAAAGATTACTTCATAGAATTATTAGAAATAAAAGTCCAGTTATCACAACTTGGGGAGTAGGGATAAATAGTTTCTTTGTTTTTTGGGGGTCATTTTTATAATTAAAACATTGTATCCCCACAAAGCAAGACAGCAGAAATTGTAACAGTTGCTTCTATTCATAAGAGTTTTTTTTCAGCGTTTCTAGAGAATAACAGCTGAACAGGAAAATAAATGAAGCTGTTTTCAACTGAAAGTTAAAGAACATACATTATATTGTTACTCTTGTGAGCTCTTCCGATATTTTCACACCAACGGTAACCAGAAATATCATAAATAAGTAGTTCTTTGAGAGAGAAGTAACTCCATTGTCGTATCCCTGGGGACAAAAAATAGTTCTTTAACTTCTTTAGAAATAGCGCTGTAGAAGATGCATTTGTAAATAGTAAGGTGGTCTCTTTACCTCCTTGTAGCCCATCTTTATTAACCAAAGAACGAACAAAATTATCAATTTCTGGGTATGGCGAACCCTCCTGGTAACCTTCCATGGGATCTGTTAAACCAAAGGCCACAAACACACACTGTTAGAGGGTTTGCCACTGTAATATGCCATTGTACACACTATATAGACCATAGGCAGAAAATGCACATGAATCACATCACACCCTTAGACAGAATCTGGGAGAAAGCCACTGTTAACTTTCTAGTAGATCTTTAAAGTGCCACCCCCAAGGTGCAGAGGGAGCTGGGACAAAGCAGGACAGCTGTGGGTACAGGAAGTGGGGTCAGTGGCATTCAGGTGCTGCAGAGATGTACTCTGCCCCCTGCAGAAAGAGCTGAAGAAGGGCCCTCCTAGAAGTTATCAGGTGTACAAGTCACAGAACATCTAAGTTAAGAGTATTTTCTTTCTATGCAGTAGAAAAGGCTTGAGGTACCTCTGCTGCTTCTGTTAGTTTTACTGTTTAAAAAAGCAGATATTTTTCTCTCCTCCTCTGAAAAGCCAGATGACAGAACTTTTATGTCATTACTTTCTCTAAAGAAAGGAGAGAATACAAAGAGTGTGATTCTTACAGCATAACAGTACAACACAACTCACTGTACGTCCCACAGCTCTGGGCCCAAGGGTGGGCCAGGAGACTTCCAGAGGTCCCTGCCAACCTTGACCAGCCTGTGATTCGCTGTGCACCTTTCCCTGTCCCTGGAGCACTTTCCCTTCTGGCCCTGGCAGTTCCCCTGACTCCCACCACAGCACAGGGGTTCCTCCTCCCCAACAGCAACATTTGGTTCCTTGCCAAAGTCCCAGGACACACCTATTTAACAACTGCTGGTCCACACTCCCACAGCAAGATGTGCTCTAGATGTAGTATTTATGCAAATATACCCTTCAAAAGGTTTATCTTTTTTCTCTCTACAATGAACTGCTTTTCCTTGCCATATTGCTAACTGCAAGCCAGATGATCACAGAAGTCTAAATTCAACACAGCAGAATTTCTCATCCATATTTATGGTGGATTCAGCTGATGACTATGAGCTGAATAAACTCTGTGGTTCATTGGCATCAGTTCAGGATAATGAACAGTTCATGATATAAAACCTGAAGTCAGAACAAATACATGTTTTCAATAAAAATATTAATACTATTTTAACCTTTCTGCTACAGCAATGCTTAGGATCTTCTTAAGATTAGGTATGACATATCAAAGGTTTAGATTAGATATAGAAAACTTGATTATTGTTTGTACAAGTAGCCAACCTACAGAGGGGTCTGGACCAAATAGGAAATCCGGTATGCAAGGAAACATGAACAGATACCTTTTGTATTTCTTATGCTGCTTTAAAAAACATTCAGACTTCTCCTATTTAACTGACTAAAAATATGTAAGTTTTGCTTCCGGAACTACACAGAATCTGACCAAACTTAATAATGTTTATGTTTTGGCATTTTGAGCGTGGATAGTGAAATGAGGCACAATTTAGAAGCTGTATCACATTTGAAGGCAGGTTTAACGAATGAACAAGACTCACAAGAAATTTTTTTCTTCAAAACCAAGAAATTCTACTAGGAACTCCTAAATTACACTGTAACAATGTTATTTGAATAATTACTTATTCATATTAGTTATTTGTAACTGCTACAGGAGAATTATCATTAAAATACCGTACATTTGACTGGAATTGAATCATTACCCAATGTTGCAGATTAAAGAGGAAAGAAAATATGCTTCTTCCAAGGAAACATCCTTTTCACACTTGGGGATAAACTTATTATCCTCTGCTATCTTCAGAATCACATTTTTTCCTGCTTTTGATGACTTATACATCCGGAAATTTCTATTCTTTGTATAAACACCTACAGAAAAACAGATACTTCTTAACACAGCAGTGTGGCTAGGATTTAAGATGCTGATGACTTGCAAATTAAACAATTTTCCTTGGGCCCAGCTAAAAGTCTAATGAATGGACAAAAACTGTTACTGGCTGACTAACATCCCATAGAAAAAATGCAACAAAGCAAGATCATGCACACTTTTACGTTACAGAATAATTAAGACAAATGCTCAACACCTCTACACAGGCATTTTAATCATTCTGACATTATAATTGTTAAAAGTTCCCCTTCAATACAAGAAATGGGTTCTTTCACAATAACTTTGTGAAATACAACTGATCCCAAAAAGCTGCACAATTATTTTAACCAGAAAGAACTTAATCCAACTTTCTGCTTTCTGTGGAATGTTTCACAACTTTTCTGAGGCATATATCAGGAAAAATTAATTCCAATCTCAAAAACAATTATCAGGTATCTTAACATTGCAAAATCTAATAATTGATTGAGGAGAGTTTTATTTGCAGGTTGCATTTGATTTTCAAGCATTTGATTTTCATGAAGAGAAAAGCACTTACAGAGCTCATATACAAGAAGAGTACAAGAAGAGCATCACAAAGCTTTCTGTCACTGCAGCCTCAAGATATAATTCATTATGTCAGCAACTTTGACTTTAGCTTCCAAATTTTGAGGTAATGTGTTTATGTTATCATAAATACTGAGGATGGTTAATTTTGGGAAACTAACATCAAATTCTTAAAAAGTGAGATAGGAAACAAACTTTTTATTTGAATTCCATTCACAAATATGCTTGAAAGAATTTTGAACAGTAGGTGAAAGTAACCCTCTGACTCAGTAACAAAGCCTACTGTAGCCTACTTTGGGATTACATTTCAATAGATCAGATATACTGAAGAGGTCCATAATAAAAGTGAACCTTGCTTCCATGAGAAAAATTTGAAGTAATGGGAGTTCTTCAGAAGGGTCTGAGGAAAAAAACCCAAGGCAAAGTCCTGAAATGTGTAGCACATTACTGTGCAAAAGTGTGCTAAGCCATTTTCATTTCCCTGAGATAAGACAAAAAGCAAAAAAAGCAGATAAGAAGTTAAAGAAAGGTGGAACTCTCATACTCTTGTTTGATTATGGGTGTTCCTGGAGATTTGCAACATTTTAATACCATGAACAGGCTATGCCCAGCTGGGCCATGAAGTGCCCAACCCAAAATTTCTGTTACTCCATCACTGAAAGCTAAAAGCTGCCATTACAAACAGGGAAAGAAGGCTCAATTCATACTTGTAGAAGAATACGGAAAGCCATGCCTGTAAGACTTGTTCCTTTATTAAGCAGCTTCTGATTCAACTAAAATAACAAAAATGCAATATATGCCATCCTCTTTTAATCCAAATGGGAGCACTAAGCCCTTAAGGGAGAAAAATATTAGTCTTGTGTGGAAAGAATTGGGAAGAAAAGGAATTTAAACTTCAGAACAAAATAATTAAATGTAGTAATAGAAATTCTATAGAGCATGAATCTAAGGTTCCTTTGAAGTACAGCACTTACAATCACAGTTTCAACATGTTTTTAAAGTCTGACCACAGGGACAACAGTAAGAACCTCACTGTTCTTACTCTCTGTAATCAAAGATTAAGGAACGTTTCATTCTTAACCTTTGTTGAATCCCAAAGAGGTTTTAAAACACTTATATTTACCTAGATCCACAAAAAGCTGCTTGTTGCCTTCTTTATTGTTTACTATTAGGAAGGAAAAATCCAAATTTTCTCCCTGGTGTGGCATTTCCATATCCTTTGTTTCATGAGCAGCGGCTGGCCAGTCTTTAGAATCATCTTCAACAGCTGTGAGGTTTGTAAAAGAGCCATCTAATCCAGCTCCTGCAGAACACTGGAAAACATGCCCTGCTTCCTCTGTTGGAATCACGGCAGCTCCACTCTCAATTAATCTTATGGCAGGCTGCAAAATGGTTCTCACAAATTTGCCTTAAAAACAACAAAAAAGGCCAGAAGCAGGTAACATCATCTATGAGTAAAGAAAGAACTTAAGAGAGTTTCTGTGCAAACATTTTTCAAAAGAGCCAAGATGGAAGAGGTTGAAGTTCAGGGTCTTTTTAGCCCTTCTGGATCTTTTGAAGAACCCACTGTATAAAATGTTTTCGGCCAGTGACAGAGAAACCAATGCCTTGCAAGAATTTGTACTAAATGTCTTTAAAGAAAAAAAAACAACTAAATATTAACAAGGTCAGATTAAGAATTCTGAAAAGGCTGTGATTGTCCCTGTCACAACTGCTTTCCCTAATTTCGCTTTCAGAATGACTGAAATGTTTACTTGCAGCTTCATGGTGTATTTACTGATGTAAGAGCTTGACCAAAGCTTACTCAACAAATTACTTTCACAGAAGTATTTTGTATGACTTTTCAAACTCACAGTATTGTAATTCAACTCCCATTGTATCTCCAGGCTGTGCTAGATGGTAACCAAAGACAGACAAATAAAAACCATCGCCAAATCAGTTCCAGGGAGAAAGCAAGAGAATAGAATAAATACGTAAGTGGGAAAAAAAACTATGAAGTGGAAGGAATACTGGCAACGATGATTCTGCACTTGTTGGATGAAGCTTCCATGGGGAACATGAATGAATATGAAATACGGTTCCTCCCATGCTACGTATCAGCAGAATGACTCAGTATATCAAGCATCAAAATCATCATCACCCTCATAACTGATTACAGGACTACTGGGGCACACAAATGAGTCAAGACAACCCGAAACTGGCAATTCTCTGTGTTGGAGTTGCCATACCTGAGAAATCCCAATTTACATAAACAATTAAAATTGCTTTCAGCTTTCTCTTAACCATGTTTATGCAAAAGTGGCTTGAAATAATCTCTGTCCTGCCCTTTTGACAATGTGCTGAGCAGAAATTAACTGTATTTAGAGCAAAAAACAGCAGCTTTAATTGCTAAGACTGACATTAATCTGAAAAATCAAGGTGTTCTAGATTTGCCAGTTTCATATAAATCAGTATTTTTGCAAATAAAACACACAGGCACAAAAAAGTTACATTTTTGCAAGCACACATGCTAACTATAGGAAAATAAAGTAGAAGATGAGAAAAAAATGAGGCCTAATGAAATAGAGAGTAATTATGTGTATGCTGGGAATACATATTTGTTTCCACATATAATTCCATTAAAATAAATACTCATATGGGAGATGGCACTGTATAAAGTCAAAACCTCACCTTTTATTTCTAGGTGTAAGAGAAAAGAACACACTTACCAACATGAGCATTATCCTTAAATACTGTCTTTTGGGGTAGAAATATTAAGTGCCGACTAAATTTTTCTTCAGTACTGGAATCCAAGTTCAAGACATCTTTTGATGAACAATTTACATCATAAAGTTGTTTTAATTTTTGGCTGACAAGCTGAAAGTATAAACATTAATTATGTTGTTTTATCTAGTAGTTGTATCTATAAAACCTAATACAAATTCAGATTCTACATTTTTCCCAAGCTTTTCTTTTTTTCCTCATTTTGAGCATACAATTAATTTAATTCAAATTAACCCATATAAAGTTTTAACCAAGTTTGACACAGACTCTATTTCCTTAAATATGCAAGTCACTTAACTAACAGTGATAAGCTGAGAAGACTTCCAGTTCTCAGGTCAAAGTCTGGTTAGGAGGGTTTACCCTGCAGGCTGTTTTCCACCACACAGCAGTTCACACCCACAGTGACAATGTTTGTAATGCAAGCTCACCGGGAGTGGAAGATGGAGGCTCTCACAATATAAAGGAGCTAATTCACTGGTTATGATTTGGCTAATTCATTGGTGTGACCCAATGAACAGTAACTAAGCAGAAAACATATTTCAGTCTAAATTAGCTCTAAATAAACCCTTTATAAACCAAGCTACTGATTACTCATGCTTAGGACCAGGACTCAGAACCTAAAGAACTGAAAACTTTGGGTTTTAGCAGCTCAGATCCCCCACCCAGCAAATCCAAAATCCTCTTCTTAACCTGAGGAATCTCTACATTTCAGAGTTGATCCACAATGGATTAAGTCCTCCAGATTCTGTATCAATGGAAGGTTCTTTATGAAGGAATTACCTCAATCGTCTTTTATTTTTGTTCACTTCTAACTAGAGACATGTAGGTTAAAAAAGTCTCACAGACATCCACTCACAATGAGATTTTATTAACAGAAGATATTCTTCTAAAAACATATGAATGCCATATTGAACTTGCAGAGAGCTCATTTACAAAAAAAAAAAGCAATAAAATGGAAACTGCACTATTTAATAAAATCAATAATTAGCAAAGTTATTTAATTTTACATACCAAATTGGTAAATGCAGTCACATGATGCTCTCTAAATCATCATTTAACTAAATTATAATGAATTGTCACCTAAAGAAACTTTCTGGAGAGATTTATCTAAGCCTTGATATATGACTGCACCACTAGGCAAAAGGAATGAACTGAGGAATATATGTATGGAACTTTTATTGACACTACTTCAAAGAGTACCTAAACATTCCTTCAGTTTTACAGCTTTGAAGTGGCAGAGCATATAAAACAACCTTCAAAAGTAAACTTACCATGTCAGTAAACCTACTGTGAATTCAAACAGTCCAATAGCCATCATTTTTTATTTTTGTCTCTCAGTAAAATTTTTCGTCTCTCACTATGACTAAACCCTTGCTTTAACTAAAACAGTATTTTTTTTAATTAAAAATAATCACTGGGTCTGCAATTCTTTTAATTTTACTATAACATAATCAAGATAAAGTGGTAAATACTTTTGGTTTCATATTAAATTAACAACAAATTCATATTCATCCACAGCATGACTTTGCTCCAGTTTACCTCAATTAACTTCTTGACCATACTCTTGCCATCTGCATCAGGATTCGCTGGTTTGTAAAACTCCAAATCAAAATAAAGTTTGCAAGCATCTTTTGCAGGAATTACTTCATAGCAATGCATAAGACTTGTTTTGCAACCTTTGCTAAGGAAAAACAAAAACAAATCACAACCTCTCATGATAAACATTATGAGCATGCTAATCAGTTGCAAACAAGGATCCCACATATTTTATTCTGCAATCAATCACCCATATTAAAAAATGTAGTAGCCCTATAATGCTTTGAAAAGTTTGTAACTAAGATCATCATCAAATATCAACAAAGATTATTTGTCTGGCCTAGAATTTAATTTTGTGAAGTATTCTCCTCTCCATAACCCCCCAGGCTTACAATACATACAGAAATGTTGAGAATTTAAAAACTATAAAAACTACAGTAAAAAGATGTAAGTGATATCTCATATGTCTTTAGCACAAAGAAAGAGTTATATCGAGTTTTTCTAACTAAATTTAAAAAATCATCTCATTGTCAGTTTGAAAAAAAAAAATCAGGCTTTATGTACAGAAATTGCCTCAGATTTCTTTCACTTCATAGCCAAATGTTTTATTGTAAAAGAAAGAAATAAGGGGAAAAGTTCAGCACATGATAAAATTGTCAGTACTTGGAAGTACATCATGCAAATGCAAACCCATAAATCAGTTTCCAGACATCTGCATGAACGCCCACTGAAACTGCTGTATGACTGGTCAGAGAAGTATGTTTTTGTCACGTGTTGGTATGATCCCCTGGGGAAAGCTGACAGCAAAACCAAATCTACCGTTAATAAATTTCACTTCAACAGACAGAGTACTTAATTCACAGAAAATAATGGCATCCTACTACTTAAAAGAAAGTATAAACCTGCTGTAGAATATATTGTTTTATTCTCATGGAGACTTTTCCCATTGCCAAGATGAAAGCTCAGGTAACCCATTACAGCTCTGTGCTGCTCAGAGCAGCAGATGGCTCCTGGGAATACCATCCAGTGACAGCTATTATAGGTGGGAGATCCAGTATACCACTAACTTTTAGTAACATACAGGGTACCTTCTCAAATACTCACGTATAATAAAACCAAAGCTCTTTATATGTTGTCACAAGGTAAAACCTCTGTCCATTCTGGGTGTTTTTTTCCAAAGCAAACACGTGAACATCCTTTAAAATAAATAGATTAAATTTTTTTTCTTAGTTTCATTCAAAAAAACAGTTTAAATCTTCATAAGTTCCTCCTTGGCATCAGTTAAAGGTTAATAAATACCAGAGAACTATAAACAGATCACTTATCCTTTTCCATGCTCAGTAGCATCTAGTTTTAAATCATTCTGATTTCAGTTACATGGGTAAAACTTTGAAGCTTTTCTTTGTTGTGCAGTAATGTAAATTGTTTTCTCTGTAAACTCTTGGGTTTTTCTGATCAGTATCAAGTGCATCTATAGGGTGCAGGAAAAATATCCTGAAAGGAGCAGCCTCATGGACATGATGGCAGTATAAGCTTTATGGGCAAATATTCTTCAGACATTATTATGTTGTTTAGATCCAAAAATGGAAATCTGAGAAGAAAGATGAAAAAAAAACTACTGCTAAGCCAGTGAGAATCCGTTTTGGAAAACAAGCTGTCAGGATTACTTAAACACCTGAAACAGCATGGAGAAAAACACAATACTTCCTTTAAAAATAGCAATCAATTTGAAAAGTATTAAACTGAAAACAGAGGATACCTTTCATACAATATTTATTTAGCTAATCACTTCTAATCATCTGAACTTGCTACTCAGATGCCACTGGAGAGTTGTATTGTTTTTATTTAGTCTATGTCTCTTAGCTCTCTTTCTTCCTCTTTTTTTTCCTCCTCTTTCTTCCTACTCAATTCTCACTACCTTCCCATTCTCCTGCCCACCCTGACAGCTTGTTCATCTTGAGAATGAACAGATTTATCATTACAATGTTCACTTTTACTGTTTGAAGTTAACACCATATATCAACTTGTATGCTAGAACAGAACTAGTTCTTCTTAGAGATACCTCCAGTTCAACATGACCTACAAAGATAAAATAAAAACCTTGCTTTTTCAGGACTGGGAAGGAAAAGATCTTGCAAACTGATGAAGACTTCACTGCCAACAGCAATTCAAAATTATATTCAATCCTGAAAATATATAGAGAGTAGAGACATTCACCTAACACATAGTATACCTCTTTGCAGGTTTTTACATAACTAAAAGCTTCAGCCTGTCGAGAAAATATTTTCCAAACAGAAGATGGCATAGAGGGCTTGGACAGTCTTGGTTTATAAACTGTAGGAAGAGGATTTCTTTCGTAGTGAGATGCTAGATCTTCCAGTTTCTTCAGTCTTTCTTGCCATTTTCTCTTCATTTCTCCTAAAGCAATTACAAATAGTCCAATCAATACCAATCCATTTGCAAGGCAATTTTAATCTGAGTATATCCTGTATGCCTCACTGATTTTGATTCTGGTTCTATTGAATGTAATTTACTAATTAACTGGAAGTAGCCAACATTCCAAATCAACACCTAACCTTACTACGATACTCATTTTAATATTAAATGTCTCTACACTGTTTTGGAAGTGCAAGAGCTTCATATGAACACATCTTATCAAAGATAAACACAACAGAATAAAGAAAGTGAAAAGAAGTGAAAGATGGCCTAGGAATTTTCATTTTTGTCTACAGAATGGCATTACGGTCCTTGGAAAGTATACAGACTTGACTAGGCACCTAATGTTAATAAGGAGTAAAAAAATACTAGAAGTGAAAAAATACTAAGAGTAAAAAAATATTTTTGCTTTATGGTTGGGGTGACAAATGAGGTAATTAATTTGTATGCGTAGTACAATACTTGAGTTCATAAGAGGAATTAAGACTTCAGTGACTTCAGCTCCAAGGTCTGCATCTCAAAGAACTGAAATCCAAAATGAGGGCTCCATTCTCCACTGCCAACCTTTGCTATTGATCAGTGATACTTTCACCTGCTTTAAAAGCTCATGCACTTTTCACAACCTTAAAACAGCAATCTTATCTCTTTTCAAGAAATAGAACCATGCAATAACCCTTGTTACCTTGAAACCTTTAAGCTTTTAGCTCCATAAAGCAATCCAAATGCTGTAAAGTAATGCAGTGAAGCCTAAGCACACATATGTACAATTATCTGTAAGTGGAACACCTGCACATCAGTAAAAAGCACTGCCAGGAAACTGTGAAACAGAGGAAGAGAGGCAAGAAGCAACAAACATGAAGGGAAATCTTGTTCTGCTCAGCATAACCACTTAGTTCTCCTAACAGCCCCTGGGTTGCAGTGAAAGATAAAAATGTAACTGAGTGTACTGAAAAGTATTCAAACCTTTAACAAGCTGGATCCACAAGACAAATTTAAGTATTTAAATATTCTTGTGGGGCCCTGTAGCCCAAATTTTAGATCCTCTCATTTCCCCTCCAAGTTTTCCACAGCAAAAGTTCCTGGACACTTACCCTTCTGCCCATTGTTCTAAGCCTGCCAATGTCTTGATAGTCAGTGCCTGTGTCAAGTCTAAGTAACAGAATGTATTTTCTCTAACAGGGATCAAACATATTATCTCTATCCCCCTTGTCCATCTTCTGAACTGTGCATTTGCTTCACTCCCTTTTTATAATCTTAGTTCCTTCTCTGGGAATGAAAAGTTAGATTATAAGTAACAACCAGTGTTTCTCAGAAGTGCTAACAAAACTTTCGGTCTCATTTTGGTGCTGTTGGCTGTAAATTAACTGGGTGCAAAAGACATGCCTACATCAGCACTTTCCACAAGTTGACCATTAAAAAAGGAAGGCAAAGAAGAAGCCCCATAATTCACTATTAATTTTAAACATTCTAGTTATATCAGGCTGTATTTTTGCAGAAACACAGCTGGGAGGATACCTGAACCTGGGAGAAGATTGATGACCCTTACTTTAAACTGAAACCTATCCATGCTTCTTGCAGCCCAAACACTTGGTCTCCCAAGAGTCCAACGTGTCTTTTCAAGGCAATTTCAATTCCTGTGTGAACTATAATACAACACATCTATTTGGAGCACATACATACAGTTAACATTTACAGACCAGCCCTCTGAGTTTGGGAAACTCTCACTTCATCTTCCTCTCTTATGCCCCACCAGAAGTAAGGGCAATACTTATTTTTGTTTGACTTGACTGAAAGAAGTTTTGTCACCAACATGTTTGGACTTCAGTGTTATTGATTCAGCAGGATGACTGCATGGAGAGCCTGGAAAAATGTCTCCTGAGCAATGACTTACAGAACTATCTCATTTTCTCTATTTTATGGAAGACTACTTCTCTGTTTACTCCTCATGATAACGACAAAACATATTACCCACACCTGCTGACAACTGAAGCTGAGACACGCAAATCAACTGTTACTCAAAATAACGTTACACGTTTCCCGGACAGTGCGTATCATGCAACACAGTTCTATGGCAGAATTCATGGTCCTTGACACAAATAAATCCATGAGATTTTCTCCCAGCTACTGATTCAGCCTTAGAAGAACACATTAAATTCCTTAATGTTAGTGAAAATTAGCTTAGCCATCTTTATGCTGAGCTGACGAGTGGCATATTAATAAACACTACTCACCTTCCCTCAACAACAAAAAATTTTCATCTTGCCCTCCTGATAGAGGAAGTGGCCTCTACAATTACAGAACGATGGAATGGTTCAGGTTGGAAGGGACCACAGTGTATCACCTGGTCCAACCTCCCTGCTCAAGCAGGGTCATCCTAGAGCACATGGCACAGGATTGTGTCCAGTTGGATCCTGAGTATCTCTGGTGGGGGAGACTCCACAATCCCTCTGGACAACCTGTTCCAGTATGCAATCTGCTCCTTAAATTAACACTGCAAGTGCAAAACTCAGTACATCAGACCTGGTGATAAGACCTCAAAAAGTAGGTTAGTACCTGTTATGAGAAGATGGAATACATAGTTTCCAATGTATCTGACTTCTGCTACTGAAGGTCGATGTACTGAAGGTCAATGAAACTAACTGACCTGAAAGTTGATGAAGAAGCCAAAATCAGCCCTCAGCATCAAGAGCGCTGCTGTGCAAAGCAGGTCTGTGGGCAGCCAGGGACAGTCACCATGCTGGTGGGTGAAAACCCTGCCCAAGGGAAGGTCCTGCTGTGGCAAGCTCACCCACGGGTATCTCACTCACTGAGGTCAGGAGGGGGCTGCTCATTTAGTAACTGACCCCACAGATTACTCGAGCTGGCCATTTCCTTTACCAACCACCATTCTACCAGAATTATGGAATATTCTGAGCTGGAAGGATCATCTAACCCAAAGATTCTCCCAGCCCTGCACATGACCATCTCCAAGAGCCACACTATGTGCCTGAGAACATTGTCCAAACTTCTTGAGCTCTGTCAGGCTGGTGCTGTGACCACTTCCCTGGAAGCCTGTTCCAGCGCCCAACCACCCTCAGGGTGAAAAACCTTTCCCTAATATCCAGCCTCAACCTCCTCTGACACAGCTTCAGGCCATTCCCATGGGTCCTGTCACTGGTCACCACAGAGAAGAGATCAGTGCCTGACCCTGCACTTTCCCTCATGAGGATGTTGAAGACCACAAGGAGGCCTCCCCTCAGTCTCCTCCAGGCTGAACGGGCACAGTGACCTCAGCCGCTCCTCAAAGGGCTTCCCCTCAAAGCCCTTCGCCATCCTCATAGCTCTCCTTTGGACGCTCTGTAACAACTTTATATCCTTCTTACCTTGTGGTGCCCAAAACTGCACACAGCACTTAATATAAGGCCGCACCTCATATTGTAACATAGCGTAAGTGTACCAGAATAGCACATTTGTTTCAGCAGGCAGAGGAACTCGAACAACAGCGCAAACTTCGAGGTTTGGATTACACCATTCACACCCAAGAACAGCAAGGCCAGCCCTACCCGGCTCAGCGCTCAGAGCCCACAGGGAGCGGTGGTTCAAATGGCCCGCCATCGGCCCGGCCCAGCGGGCTCCGCCGGCACGGCACGGCACGGCACGGCAGAGCAGAGCAGAGCAGAGCAGCCAGTCCGTGCCTCCTCAGCCTGGCCTCGCACGTCTCCCTCCGTGCCGGGAGCGGCCCGCACGGCCGGGCCCGCCTTGTCCGCGGCGCTCACGGTCAGGCCCCGCTCCCCGCCGCCATTGGGGCGGGCCGCTCGCCCTGCGCGGGGCGGGGCCAGCGGCGGGGCTGTCTCGGCGCCGGGCGGCGCGCAGCTGAGCCACGCTCGGGAGAACGCGGGTCGGAGCGAGGCGAGCAGGCGGCGAAGCCGGTGGGTGGTGGCGGGGCCGAACAAAGCGGGGGGGAGGGGGTGAGGTGGACCGGGCTATGGCTCTCTGGGTCTGCGTGGCCGCATCTCTCCTGGAGGAAATCGGCTGCGGGGAGCGGGAGGGGGGCCGCGTTTCTCCCGGGGCGGGCCCGGCGGAGAGAGCCGCTTCCCCGGCTGCCGGCGGCGCTCCCGGCCCCCCAGGCCCGGGGGTCGGTCGGTCAGTAGGTCGGTCGGTCGGTGGTGGGGGTGGCTGAGCCCACGGCCTTGTCCGCGGGCCGGGCGGGAGAGAACGCCCGCCGGGCCATCCCAGCGCCCGCCGCTTCCCCCTGCCGGGGACACAGCGCGGGGCCTCAGGTAATAGCTCTCATGAAGCTTAAGGTCGCTAGTTTGTTCCCTTTCAGCCTGTTTGGGTGGAGAAGCTGCCGAAACAGAGAGAAAAAAAAAAAAAGCAAAGCGCTTTAATTCTGAGCTGCTCTCTGGTGACCCCTCGGTAGACCATTAACGAACCGGAAACACGGGGTCAGAGTCTGTATTTGCATATTCCTAATACAAAGCGTGTTAAACCTCGTCTGTAGTGACGAAAAGCATGCTTGGGGTCCTGGCGGGCACTGTAACTAACTTTTGATAGCCTGTAAAAGGCCCTGCCCAAGGTGTGTTGTGTCCTGTGTGACCCCTGATGGTCTGAAGGATAGGGCTGGCCAGCTGAAGTCTTTTACCCTGTATCTCATTGTTCTCTCCTTCAGGTATATGCTTGTCAGGTGGTAGCTTTCAAACCAACACACCCTGCCCTTAATACGGCTGTTGCTTGTAGCGGTGGTGATGTGATTAATTGGTGCAGGTGAATTAATAACCCAAGGGTCCCCTCTACACTCGGTGTAATTTCAGCTGATTTTACAGATTCATGCTGAGTACCTAGAAGTCTTTGCTTTTGGGAGATCAGAATGCTGGCCCAGTGTCAGGGCTTTCCAGCAACTACATCCAGCCCAGAAGTAATGGGAAGAGCTGTCTCAGTATGGGCCTGCTCCCATCTGTTGTAGCAGTATTTAGTAGGGGGATAGTGTCGCACAGAAAATGTAATGGTATATTTCAAATGTTTTTCGGTTTTTCATATACTCAGCTTCTATATTTTCCTTATGTTGTTAGTCAGATAATTATTGTTTAGCATTATACATTGTAGAGTGGAAATATTTTAATTTGCATGTCTGCATTAGTATCATATGTCACGTATATGTTCATGTACAAAAATTACCTTCTTTGAATGCTTAACATTTTCTCTTGCAGTCATGTGAGGTGGAAAACTGTTCTTTTCTAATCTTTAAGGAGATGTTTTACAATCCTGATGTCTGTTTTGAACATGTATTTTAGTAATGCTACAATCATTGCTTTGTGGCAGCATATATATACTGAACATGTGTTGTCTCCTGTGGTTTGCATATTTCAGGATCCAGCTGACTAAAGGCAGTTTAGTTATTTGCTTTCTCCTGTCTGAGAAGCTTTGGTATTATTTTTATCACTATACCATTCATTTCACTTGTTGGTTCTCATTTCAGTTTAATACGGCTTTAAAAAGAAGCCTGGTGATTCTTATGGCAGAGGTGACACATGATGATGTGAATTTATTTTTGTTAGGTCCACCAAGAATCAATAAATCCAGGCTGGAATGGAGTAAAAAGTTGTTTTATTTATTATTTTCTCATCAAAAGAAAAGCATTGGAACAACTGCATTTATGTAGGGGGAAAAATATTTTTGCTCTTATTGCTGTACAGAGAGACATTGATTATTTTTTGGTAGCTTGCAGAGCATAGCTTTGGTCTTTTTTGAGCCACTTTGTTTCTTACTGCTTAGTATACACATAGTATATGTGAAGATCATTGTAGGATCATCTTTATATTTGATGTCGCTGTCTCGTTTTTTTTTTCAATTGTATTTTTTCAGATACAATATTATAAAATAAGCTTCCTAAAATCTACAGAATAAATTTTGCTAGATTATAAAAATGATGTTGCTCTTTTCTAGAACTTGTTTTTTATATTTCCTTACACTTGAAACCTCGTTTTACCTAAGCTGTCAAAGAAAATAATATCAAAGAGCAGAATAAAAATTTGTAATAAATTTTTAAAGCACTGATGTGATTTCTTGCGCCTCCCCCCACCAGGATGAGATCATCCTCCAGAGGGAAATGCATGGCATCACTGCATTACTTAAAGCAAGATGAGGCAATCCTTAGCAGCCTGTTAGAATCATCACCATCCTCCTGACCTCTGCTTTAAAGCACAAAACACCCTGCTGGTTCAAATGCGCATTTGAGTGCCTAGTAACAAAGGAGGTATCTCTTTGTGGGTGTCTTTTGTTCTTTAAACGAGTGCAGGTGACTTGGTGCCTGAGGGTGCTCAGGAATTGATGGATATTAGAAGTGAGTTACAGATTCTGTCCTGAAGATATGCCATGTGAAGTTCAAATGTTATAACCAGTTTTTCTAGGCAATTCTTATAGCTTCTGTAAAGTCTCTCAGACAAGCTCCAGTTGTAATGAGGTAGAGTGCAGGAAGCTTCAACACTTCATTAAACAATTGAAAGTGTAGGCTGTGAGCTAGGCTTGCAGAGGCCCTAGTAAGAAATATTTTTATGATATAATATTACAAGTTGTGTTTTACATTTTTCAGAAAGAAACTAATATACTTTGTTGTAATTGTAGTTTTTGCTAGCCACTTCTTCCAATTTCATTGTTTCTTTGGCGCTGGATCAAGGACAGCAGTTTTAAAACTTCAAATTTTAAAGTTGCAAAAGGAGATAAGTCTTACTTTAAGGTCACTTAAATGTTGAAGATCTCTCCTAGTGTTTACATCCTGCCTTAACATTCATGTAAGACGCATTCTGTGCTGGCAGCCAGCTGGGTCTGCAGTTTGCTTGATTCAGCAGTTTGGTTGGAGCACAGCTGATGTGAGCCCAGGGCAGACTAATGAGCCACTTACCCTCCCTCGTGATTCCAGGGGTTCATCTGCTGGCCAGAGGGTGTTTGCTTTCCCGATGCTTTGGCTGAGTCTTTCTCCAGGTAGCTGTTGGTAGACAGGAGGTGGCCACAGCTTGTGTAGGTACATGTTTACTAGTTTACACTCTACCCTTCATGTACGTGCAGCACTGGCACTGCAGAACTTCACGGTGCCAAACAGCTGGGGTAAACACCTGGGATTTAGCAGAAGTTGATTTTGTTGAAATAATAAGTTGAATAGAGTTGAATAGAACTTCAACTTTTGTTGAAGTTGAATAGAGTTGGCACTTGATGCTGTGCTATTTTATATGGTGTGGCTGTTTATTACTGTTGTCAGACAAAGAGCAGAAGGAAGTTAATAATTTCCCTGTCTTTCTTATTAATCCCAGCCACACTGAAAGATCTGGGTTGTGCTCTTACACATAGTTCTTCTCCAGGAGAAGGAACAGTATGAATTGCATCAGAATAGTGGATAGGTCTGCTTGGATGTTTTCCTACAAATTTTGCTCAGGCTGAGAGCTCAGAAAAGCTGAGAACCAAAGCCAGGGATGATTGTAGTAGGGATGGTTGAAAAAGTCATAGAAACTCCTGAAGCTGGGCAGTGCTGGAGCAGGAGAACTTACAGCATCCTTGTCAATGAAATCCATTCTTTCCAATTATTTGGGATCAGGAGCTCTGCTCTTCAGCTAGAGCTGGGTGCACACACCAGTTGTTACTGTAGAGCAGCCTTTGCTGGCAGTGCTGATGTTCTCTGCCAAGGGTATAGGGTTGGATCACTGTCATGCCATGGGTCATGGGTATTTCAGTGCCCTTTGGAGTTGCTTGCCTTTCTCTTCCCACAGGGTGCTTTTCGTAGTTAGACTTCGAGTTAGGATGAATAAATCCAGATCAAGGTGCTAGGCAGTCAAGTTCTGCATTGTAGATTTACTTTTTACCCCATTATACTGTCTTTAAAGTAAATTCGTAAAACATAATGTTAATTTTAAACATTTTATTTCTAAAATACCAAGCTTATTTAATACTTTGGTAATTTGATTTTCAGGAAATTTCCCATTCGCTGCATTACATGATACAGTTTTCAAGTCTGGAATAATTTGTTGAAGACGTTTTAATTACATCAGTGCTCTAAAATAATATTCAGAGTAACACTGAAGATCTTTTGAAGCCACTAAAAATGTAAGTAAATGTCTTCCTATAAAGAAGTTAAGAAAGAGGGCTTCACGTAACTAAATTCGTGCTTCTGATGCATCAGTAATTGTTGCCACAAAAATGGGTGTTTGTTGTACTAACAAGAGTATAGATACAAAGTTGAGACTCAATAAGAATATCATGATGTAAGATGACAAATACAGTTTGCCTCAAAGAACTTAAGCCTTAAGTAGAATCCTCATCACATCTGACCAGCAAATCTTGCTACTCAGTCTGGTTACTTATACCTTCTTATTTACCATAAATATATCTGCTGAAGTAAGTTTTTGCAAAATTCTTGCCTTGTAATGCCTTGTTTGACCTCCTTGAGGTCTTGGCACTTCTAAGCATTTATTACTTTGTCCTATCTGGTGGTTTAAATTTATGATGCATAATTGTTTTCTGAAACTTGAGTTTAATGTAACTTGTGGTAATATGTTCCAGGAGTATGCACAGGATAACTGTGGGGGAGGTTTAATGCCTTTAAATTGATTTCTGATTTAGTATCCATTATAATTTATTATCCTGTGTTCTCATAAAAGTAAAAAGCCCACAGCATAGGG